CTCTCCTCTCCTCTCCTCTCCTCTCCTCTCCTCTCCTCTCCTCTCCTTCACAACATGCATCGAACAACAATGTCAAATAAAATGAAGCACGGTTTCCTTGACATACTGAAGAATCAGAGATGGTCTACCTCAACCGCGACGCCACATCCCTGTGGGACCTCAACCGCGAGCGCTAGATCGCGGTGGGCAGTCAATCGCCAGCACCAGATCGCAGTGGGCACCACCGGAACTGAACTGGGCTTAGAATTCCAGGAAGAACGCCACAAGAGATGCCAAGTAGATTACCAGAAAGAATGCGAGAGCATATTTGCCAGATAGAGTGCCAGTAAATATGCCAGATAGAATGCCTGTATATATGCCAAAGAGATCCAAATAGAATGTCAGAAAGCATGCTGCAAAGGACGTCAACATTTATTATACCAACCAGTAAGAATGCCAGAATAAGTGCCAGATAGAATGTCACAATAAATCCCAGCAAATATTCCACATAGAATGCTATATATATATATAATATATATATATATATATGTGTGTTATTGTATATGCGAGGTAGAATGCTGTAGCGGGGGTCAACCGAAGTAAAGTGATGCTGTTTCTCCTCCAGCTTCGTGCATCAGTGGCACAGGATTCAGTGGCGGTGATGCCCTTATGGCGGGTGGGTGATGTGATGTCACGTCACGTCATGTCATCGACTGTAGCTTGGTGCAGTTTTGCTCTAGTTGTTCGTTGGTTGGCCTTCTGGTGGCTGCGATAGTGCTACTGAACACAGCCGTGGACCTCAAAAAAAAATTGAGCGATGTAATTACCTGTGGACATGTTTGGCCTAACTTAGTTTCAGGGATGCTTGCTTGCAGATAGGAGCCAGGCTTGAAGATAGAAGGTCAGATATGTCAGCTGCGGTATGTGCGCAATGATTTGGGATTATGACACCCGGATTCCCCGATCCCGCTATTTGCAACGGAATTTGTCCCATAGCTCTCTCTACTTTTTGCCTTGACCGATTTGGAGACTGGCTCGTGGGACCAGCTCCGACAATTCTTGATGCGTTACACTCGGGGAAAGCTCACATGGTTACGTGGAGTTCACCCTTTTGGTCTTCAGAAACCTTCGGAAACTGGTCCTCCTTCCGGCCCACGCCATCCATTCTTTTCAGGGCGTGTGCTATTTCCTTGGTCAGCCGGGACCCGCACTTGCTCAGACGTATCCAAGTGCCGGGACCGGTCCGAGGTATCCAAGTGCCTGAACCCCTGCTTCGCGCTGGATGAGGGGCAGATGGGATTCTGGATTTGCGAATGCCCAGAGGAGAGCAAGAATGCCCGGAGTACTCCAATGCCAACCCGTCCGGGGTACAAAAGGCTATACTCAATTGCTCAGTAGGTAGGGAAGAAGCAAAAAACACGTAGATCAAGCCAGTCGCATCTCTTGGCAATTGCACTCTCATGTGTCATGTGCTCCCGTGCTTTAGTATAGTCGAAGGTCAGTGCTGGTGGTGCTGAATCGTTTCGTGGTTTCACTTTTTGAATTTGAACATTGGGATGCCGGATCGGAGGTTTCGGTTGTTTGCGACCCTTGTCCAACATGAAGTGGTCCTAATGTTGTTTTTTCTGACAGAAGGTTCAACCCTAATGGATGTTTTTGCTTGGTCTCAGGATGTCTCAGGTATGATTCACTTGTCAAGACCAGTTTGTCCTTACAGAAAGCCCATCCCAGGCTCAGGTCACCGTTCAAAAAGGTGGCCTGGACAGAAACACCATGCCTATACAGGTCAGTCGTTGTGTTGAGGTCAACTCATGACCTCCAATATCTTGACCTTAACCAAGCACCCCGCATTGGTTCCGGCACGGTGTTTTTGCGAGTTCCTGTTGCACCAGCCAGATCACTGGTTTTTCCACGGATCCCGAGGAAAATGTGTTAAAAGGTTCAAGCACCAGGACCTTCAAACTGACCTCTTTGGAGTTTCTAAGTGACCTTGTATATACGTGACCTCATCCTGCGATATCAAAGGGTCACTTTGAAGGTCCTGGCAGAGCTCCCTACTGTGCATTGATGTGCATTGTGTCAGTCTTCCGAGTAGGTTGCCTTTGTAGAATACTATCTACGGTTCCTCACCTGTCCGTAGGGGCCATCGGCCGCACCACGCCTCTACATTCCTTCTTCGTTTCGCCAATCGGCAGATTGAAAAAAACGGGTCCTGGATAAGAGGTCTCGAGGCCCCTCTTCGCTTCACTTGCTCCGTGCCTCAGGAGCTCCGGGATCAGCACCAGTTGGATTTGAAGGCTCCGATCCACGTCTCCGCCTCGGAGGCCTCGGAGCACCTCATCTCCGTGGCCCTGCCCAAGGGACTCTACACGGTGGCGCCCTGGACGGGGGGGTGAAGTCTGCCGGCGAAGTGGTGTGCCCAGGGTCATTGATCGCATGAATGAGTTGTAAATTGGGCAAGAAATATGCAAAAAGACATTTAAGTTTCATTGCAGTGTATTTCTGAGTGATTCTGAGCGTATGATTCTTCAAGCACCCTAAGGGTCCTAACATGAACTTCAAAACCTGCACGCAGTTTGCAAGATGAGCCCGTGTTGAGGTTTTGGGATGTGTGAAAGTTGTTTGGTGTGTTCGGGCATCAAAGGTGAAGTAAAATGAGTTTTACGTTATGTATGTCACGTATGTCCATAATCCCGTCCCCCTAATAATAAACACGGGCCCCCCCCCCCCCTAATAAGGAAACCTCGGTCGCATTTTTTTTAATAGGGGGTCCCTGAAATCGGGGTGTCCAAAATAGGGTCACCTGGAAAGAGTTTCAAAACCAAAAAGTAATCCAGGAAAATTTTATATAAAATCCTTTATTAAACTCATATCAAAAATGCAAAAAACCGCCAGATCGAAGGGTCTTCCTTTTCCCCTACAAAAACCTTCATTAGAATAGTGATTCTTCAGTAGACTAACAGCTAAAGCTTTCGAAAGGTGATGTCGCTGTGCCATGCGGTGTTGCGTGACCTCGGTGGCAAGTGCGTTTGCGTGAGTCCGTGCCATTGAGGGAAGGAAAGCCTGCTGGTGTAAGCGCGGCGTGTCATGGTGGAGTTTTGGGAAACCTAATAAAAAAAACTACCCCCAAAATCGACCATGTTGGTAGTTTAGTAGCGGTTTGAAAGGGCGGCAATTTAAAACCAAATATAAACCAAATTTAGGGGATCCGGCATGACTTTTTTTTAATTGGGGTCCGTTTTTTAATAGGTACTCGGGATTAATGCACTTGTTATGGAGTCGGGCAGAATGCGTTGCTTGGCCAAGGCATGACCGTGTCCAACTGGTTGGCGGAATGACGTCGATGCACAACACCTAGTGTGTAAGTGTGTTGCCAGGGATGGGGCAGATCTTATCTGGCTGGTGTCGAAACACATCCAACAAACAAGCCTTAAGTGGGTGATTTGCAAATCAATCGGCTCAAGACAGTCCACAAACTTCGTTGTGCGTGCCTCGCCCCAAAAAGTCGCATGGACACTGAGATGCCTGAGCATATTGAAGCCTTTGCGCCCACAAAGGGTCCCACTTACAACTTTGCTTTCATTTTTCCAATGGCTTCAGGGCACATCAACCCCTCCCTTGCGATTGCCCGACGTTTGGTGCGTCAAGGGCATGCCGTGCACTACTTGTCGCGCGAACAGATGCGAGAAGCCATCGAAGATACCGGTGCCCGCTTTCACAGTGACATCGCAGAACAGCCTGAGCTTTTCGAAGACCGAGATCCATCCATGTACGGTGCCTTAGGATCTCTTCAAGAAGAACATGGGCTGAAGCTTGGTTTCTTCACTGTGAGGGACCGACCTCAGGGTTGATTTCATAAGTAAGGGAACAAAGATGCGTCAAATTGGATGACAGGATCACTGATCTCCAGTCCAGGTATATGCAACCATTCTCAGTTCCACAACATTGGCATTCGTGAAGACATGTGAAGACAGGCATTGGGGAAGCTAAGGACTGGTAGTTTGTCCAAGGCACGATTGGTGTTGAGGGAACTGGCCGTTGAGCTCATGCTTCCTGGCACCTTGCGATGGCTTCACACCATCGAGGCCCATGCGGTGCTCTTTTGCCCCCTGATCCTCAGCGGTGTTCCTTTCAGCCGGGACGTTCCGGGACACGCCACCGACGGGCCGGGACGGGACTTCGGGGGACGTCCACCGACCGAAGCACCGCCGTTGAAGGGCAAAGCAAAGATCGGATCGGCCGATCCAAGCCGATCTAAGCACCGATGAGGGGGAGGAACTGACCCTGCTCATCTAAGTCTCAACCATGCGGCCAGGACGACCTATTATGTACAAGCTGGTGAGCGGGGGAGTGACCCCATTTCAGAGGCCCACCCGGGATGGTGAATTCAACACATCTTTGCTTTCCTTGGGTATTTGGGAGAGGGGGGAGGCGCTCAAGAATAAACATCACTGACGCCATCTATCTAATCTAGTCTAATTAGTCTAGTCATGTCTAGTCTAATCTAATGTATCTATCGATCCGTTCATCGATTTATTCCATCTATGTCTCTCTCTCTCTCTCTAAATCTATCTATCTTTGTTCGAGCTACACCAAGTTGCTGGTTCTCCCATTCAACAGGTCTTGGTGGACATGTGAGGAGTCCCAGTCCACGTTCGACTCACCGAGGATCAACTTGGAGGCCCCGTTGGCTGCCAAGGTGGCGAAGCTGCCCTCAGCTGGGCTGTGTACCGTGGCCGGGCCGGGCAGTGTCCAACTTGCTTGGAGCAACACCTTGAGCTCTTTGCCTCCTGGGAATGTTGACCAACATGTTTTTCTGGGCCGTGCTATGTTGTCCATATTTTCTTTGTGCCTGCTAGACAGGACTTTCCATGAAATCAAGCAAGAGGAATAACAGTTTTTCTCGGTGGTTTGGCATGGTTTAGCCAGTCTCTGAACAAATCCAAGGAGCACCACTGCAGAAGAGCTCCTGGAAGAAAGGTCCAAGCTTCCCGCACTAGTGGAGTGCCTAAATCGCTTGAGGGCAAACTATGGCCTGCAAGTCGAGGACAGCTGTGGCCAAACAACTCAAAAAACACACTCAAGAATTTGGATGACGTGATGTGAAACGAGAAAGCATCCTTCTAATGTATAATGTAGGTATGTCGGCACATGGGTAGCAGCTTGTGGTCAACTATCATGTATATCTAAATGATACAATAAGTATACATATTTTTTAGATCCTGATCCTGTTTATTTGCTGGTTGCGTGGAACGACAAGTGGGCCGACCCACAGCCAGGTTGAGGATCACTTGAGGCCTCTAGGCCTTTTGCGAACTGCCTTGACTTCCGACGTCACTTTGGTGACCACTGCTGAGTGCTTGGCCGATCCAGTGCCACTGGATTTGACGAAGGCCTATGAGGGGCACCCTTTCATGTATTTGGGCCCCTTGCTCGACGAGCCAGGTGCCAAACGTGCTGGGGGCCACAAGTTTGACAGCCAGCGTGATCACATGGATGATGAGAAGCCTCTGGCTTTGGCGCGTGCGGCCAAGGCAGAGGGACGGAAAGTGGTGCTGGTCAGCCTTGGAACTATCATCACTGGAGATCATTCTGATTCTCGGCTGTCCAATTGCTGTGCAACATCAAGGTTATATACTCAGGTTCCAGGTGTGTATAATAAACATATATATAAGTATATATAACATTCCGTGTTTGGGGTTGGTTGGTAAGGATTATGGCTGGAAAGCCCATGAGACCGTCAATGGAGAGAAGCGTGGACTTACAGGAAAAGAGCTTTGTCAGGCTGCCTGGCAAGCAGTTTTTGATGTTTTTGGAGAAGCTGATGGCGCTGATGCCCAGACACCCCTGATCTTGCTGCTGGGTGGTAATTTGGAATATGTTTGCTGTTCCAGTCCCGCATTGAGCTCCATGCTCAGCCAAGTTCCCAAAATGTATCAACATTTTACCTTGAATTCACTTGGCATTTTTAACGCAAATCCTCAGTACATGTTTGGGAGGTCAGTGGGGGAAAGAGACCGCACTGAGGCTGGCTTTGGGGCCACAAGCTGATGCACTGGAGAATCTGCAGGTGCCACCCAATGCCTACTGCCAACCGATCCTTCCTCAGGTGGATTTATTGAGGCTCGGCTTGGATGTCTTCCTGACACATGGGGGACAGAACAGCTTCATGGAAGCCTTATCCACAGGAATTCCCATGGTGCTTTGCCCTGGCTTTGGGGACCAGCCCGTGAACGGCGCCAAAGCAGAATCCATGAAACTGGGTGTGTGCGTGCCACGCCCTAAGGGTCCATTGCACGAGGCTGAGACGGAAAGGGCAGCATACAGAAAGGCAACAGCACTTGCATTGCAGAGAGTCACCAGCAATGGGTCCTTCAAAGAGAATGCCGTGAGGTGTGCAGAAGCTTTGCGTTCTTCTGGCGGAGTCAGTCTGGCGACAAAAGTTCTGCTAAGCCTGGCACAAGGAAGTTCGAAGAGCGGTGACCTTGCGCAGATTCAAAGGAACGGAGGAGCTTAAGGCCAACAGAAACACGGGTGAGAGCATGTAAGAGCAAGAGCAGACTTTGGTCAGGCTGGCATTCTTACATAATTAATTTGGATGAAACATGCTTAGCTTGTACAGGCTACTGATGCCTTTGGGCTCCCGCACATTGCAAGTTGTATAGAATCTGCTGAGTGCAGGCTCAGGGCCTCTTCTGCTGTATAAATATTCGAGAACTTCCGACCAAATGCGGTGGTAGGAGTTTAGCCGCTTAGCCTCGGTTTGGCGTGTTCAACTTCCCACACGAAGCTACCCAAGGACCAGCGGGTCCATCGTATGGATACGTAAAGGTACAGCAACTTTCCGAAGAAAACGCAGTGCTGTCTCAAAACGGAGGAAACCCACGATAGCTGCGATAGCTCTTGAAGCATTTTCTCTTCCACCAAGTTTGACCACCTCCTTGAAGCACATCCATGTGGCCAACTGGTCGCCCGGGCCCAATCAGATCTCATGTTCTGTCAATCTGCGGGGGGCTCCATGCCTATAAATCTGTATATTATAGTTATAAGATAATATACAGTACTGTATATATATATAATATACATATTTTTGTTAAATCTTCTTTTTGTATACTTGACCCTTAGCCCCTTTGGCTGAGACCTAAAGGTCTCATAAGGTTTTACTTCTACATATTACATGCATACCATGTTTAAAATCGACGGACCCAAACCCTGAGCCGCTGAGATCTGTTGCTTTAGGACGTCCGGACGGTCCGGCTCATCGCTCGGCGCCTTCCGCTCGATGAGGTGCCCTTTAGCTCTCATCAGATCGTCACGGACGCAGTCACACAGAGCAAGACCAAGTGCCGTCACTGGGCCGTGTGACGCCGTGTGGTCTACCGAGGGGGAGAAAAAGAAAGGAATCAAAGGAGGCCAGCAACGGAAGTAGAGGGTTTTGTGATCCAACACCAGGGTTGTCACTGCGATGCCAGTGTAGGCCCCTCAATGGACCCTGAATGATTTACGATGATTTAAGATGCATGGACCAACACAATGTCACCGCATTATGCCAGAAGGTGCGGTGAGCCCAAGTATGGAAACTTTGAGAGCAGGCAGTACTTGTACCCCTCTTTTTTGTTGACATGTTCGGCCAGGCAGAGCATGCCTTCCAGTCTGTTCATGCGCCTTTCTGGCACTGAGGAGGCCAATCTTGCGGTTGCATCGACCTGAACTTGCACCAGGAAACCCTCTATGACCTAGGCCATGGCCGTCGGACCCTGTCGCTGTACGACACCAGGGGAAGTACGGACCCTGCGCTCCGCATGATCTGCGGTCCGTTGTTTGACACACCAGCTGTGTGGAGGCGTTCCGGCCAGGCACTCGCTTCGTGTATCTCTCCATGTGGGGCGAAGCGACCGATCTGCCCATCCAAGAGGCCGGTGCCGAGGTCCTGACCAGTTTTTTTTCCATGCAGTGGACCTGTCGGAGTCAGTGTAGTAGGTGCTCGGATGAATCAGGAAGTGATGTTCTGGAATTGGATTCCTCGGGATGTGTCCAGTTTCGTCTCACTACCTGGGGGCTTTGGCCGATATCTTTGCTCTCCTGTCACCAGGAAGGAACTCAAGGGAGCCATTTTGGATCACCTCCCAGAAACCACCGCGTTTTTCCTCGGGGAACGTGCCACCACCGCCCCGGACCCCACACCGTTCGCGGCGCGGCGACACTGCGTGGAGCGTGACACCGGAGGCGGCAGCCTGGTTTCAACGCCTACGGGTCGAGTGGCCGCTGTTGATGGCCTTGCCACTGTGGCTCATCGCCGAGGCACCCACCGAGGTGCGCGGGGGAGGGGAGGGGAGTGAAGCAGGTGAGCACGTCCCTTATTTGGGTGGGGCGCAGAGAGTGAAGATCCGCAAAGGAATCGAAGGGAATTTGGGAGAGGTTTGGGTGGTTGGAGAGGTTCGCTTGGGACCTGAGTTTTGTTAGAGACTCCCTTCATGCAGCAATTGGCCACAGATCGCTTTTCACGCGTGAGGTGGGGAAGAAAAACAAATACTTCCAGATTGCTGATTCAACCCCAGAAGCCAAGAAAGCCCGAGTCGATGTTGAAGCCACATCTGCAACTTTGAAGGTGTTGTAGAGGGGGGAGGCTTAGTGGAAAGGATGCAAAAGATGGCAGTTGAAGTTCCTGGCTTTTGGAGACGAAATAGCAAATTGGTTTCCTTTAGCAGTAACATGTTCACAGGGATCCTGCAGAAGTAATGAACGTGTTGGGTACATTGCGACGTCGTCTTGGATCCCTTAGTGAGGGCTCCTACCAAACTGAAACTGAACATTACTGAACTTGACAGCTTGACCCTGTCGCCGATTCTTTGCGTAGAGACTAGCTAAATAATGATATAATGCTAAATAGCTTTGGAACCACAGGAGGTACGAGCCCCCAAATGCTAGACTGCTAGACGATTTATTTGCAGGTGCTGCTCTGCATCACTGGCCCTGATGACGACGAGCGCCTTCCACCAGCAGGGGATTTGGGGAGGGTGTAGATCCACACCTCTTGGACTTGTGAACATCCAATGGTTTCAATGACTTCAGGTCCCAGGTGAATTTCGATCTGAACGTCCGAGAGCTGAGGGCCGCAAAAAAAAAATCGCAATGGAGTGCTTTGAGACACTCTTCAAGAGCATTTCCCGGTTTTCTCGAATTTTGTTGGCGCATCACATATATCTCTCCCTTATTGTGGCTAGCTAGAGCGAGATGACCGCAGCAGCATAGGAGTTTGTGTTTGCTGACTGCTTTTGGCACAGTCAGCTATCTCAGCTGCGTAGTGGGAAAGGAACATGATGGCAGGCGTTACATTGTAGTGGTTTGCTGGAATTCCTAAAATGTCTATAGTTTATTGTTGTAATTTATATTAATAATAACAACTTGGATCTAAACATGCCTAGCTGCATGCCACCTGTAAAGAATCTTAATTTGTGGAAACTCTGTATGTTTTGGTGCTTGTCGGTGACCTTCAAGGGCGGACTGAGCTCAACCTGCTCCATGTATCAATCTTACGCCTCGTGATTCATCCTGCGTTCATCATCCGCTTTCGACGGTACGACGTACCACCACCTGGGTGGAAAAGGTGCCCTCGGTTTCAACAACATCTTTGGCCACTGAGATGCTTGCTGCGTGGAAGCGAGCCATGCATGGACCTGTGGCCCTTGATCCCCCATCGGCGAGTGCGCAATGAACGCACAGGCGCGTACCCGTGTACCTGTGTGTACGGCCTCCAAAGCGCTATAGCGTGTATGATCTGATGTAGTGTTTCAATGTGTTTCACCTTCATGCCTTCGAACCTGAGAAGAGAATCTGAGGTTTCGGTCTCCAAAAGATCGGAAAACGAGGTGAAGACTTCCCCTAAAAGTTACCTGTTTTTGGCTCTCGGATCCGTCCATAAGGGCGTCCGTTGGAGGAGTGGCCGGGTGCGTTGGTGTATGTTGGTGTGGTCCGTGGTGCTTCCAGTTCGTTCTCATTGGTTATTACAGTTATGCCTCAAGAATCAATACTTCCATACAGTCCATTCTATTCCTGTTATCATCGAAACCGACAGTGGGAACAGGGTGTCATGACTAGTGACTAGATCAACTGACCCTCCTTGGAAACGTGGTTGACCCTTCGTTGGTTTCGCTGCGCCTGTCGGAGGCGCCTTGCGAATACACATTCCACGACTGCAAGGGAACTTGCGCATCAGCTGCCTGTGGCAGGCAGAGGGGTACTGCCACTGGCTGGATCGAGCAATTAGCTCGATAAAAACAAACTGCGGTGGCCTTACATTGTCATCTCAAGCCGTTTTGCTTTTCATGTGTGATGTTGAACGATGTGCCTGTCCCTAAGGGTTCCGCTTCCATGGTTTTTGTCCAGCAGGGGG